TTCTGGGATATTTTAGAACACATGTGAGCAGTCGGCTGCCCGCAGGCGGAATCCGGTCCACGATCGGTTTCAATTCGGCTCGCGGGGGAAATCGGAATTCGGTGACTAACTAGACAAACGGGGGGTTTTTACTCCGTCACACCTCTGCACTCTCATAAAAATAATCAAAAATAAAATACGTACGAGGTCTAACAGATGACATTTTGGGAAATACTTTGATACTCTGTGCCATTGATCTAGATTTCAATAATCTTGTGTCAAAAATTCAAGTTCAGAGCTCACATTAACCTGCTGTTTATTTTTATGCGTTTTTGCTATGTAGCGCCATAGCGATGCTATAGTGAGCAAAAACCCATATTGTCGCGAGATCGCCCGTGCTTGTGCATGTGTTTAAAAGCAAGTGAGCTCTGTCACTCACTTTCAACTCAGCAACCAGGAAAGTTGGGAGACTGAAATTTTGGGGTCATTCCCCACCCCATGTTCCACCCTTCCGTTTTTAAAATATTCGTTTATACGCGCTTAGATCTCGCGTACGGATTCCCGAAAAAATATGCAGATTCTTTAGCGGGAAAGGATTTCTTTAGCCAGACAAGATAGAAAGCTGAAACTTTGCAGGTATATTTTGCATGTATGAGCTAAAGATTTCAAATCCAGCTATTACACACGCTTGTACCGCACGTATAGTCACGTCGAAATTCAGTATTTAGCAGTGTGCTAACTCGAAAATCTAGCCAGAAAATAGTAACTTGAATTTTGTCAGAATAATTGTTGTTCATGTGGGAAATCGGCTACTTAAATTGAGCTTCGATTTGCACTTGCGCCGCGATTTAGGGTGCTTCAAAGATTTTTGTAGCGAAGTGGCTACTTCACTTACTAGACAAGTTGCGAGTCTGAAACTTTATAAGGATAATTGATGGTCACGTTTGGTCTTAATTCCGCTTGGAGGTGAAATTCCCTGCAAGCAGGCATAAAAAAATACTCAATTTTACTGTAAACTCAAAAATGCGTGCATTCTGCAGATTTCATAGTCCTCTTCCGACCTCCCTCAA